AGAATGCTCACCATATCTATCAATCCTTTGAGAGCTATCATTTTAACTGACTGCCATTTAGAGTCATATGTCACATAGATGACATATTAATACCTGGTGAGCAGATTGGTATACACGACCAGAGCATGGTTACACATAGTTTTAAAACACCTACGGGTTGAAGAGCTCATTCTTAATGAACAGTATGGTTTTCCCAAGGAAGCTATCCACTTCCTGGGATGTATCATTGATAAAGAGAGCATAAGGACAGAAGGTGAAAGCTGTTACAGTGTTTCCTCACCCCAAATCAGTAGGATTCACAGATAAATACACAAGGAAACTAGGGGTCAGTGATTCTGTGGTTTGGAAACTATTGGAGGAAATTTTGAAAGTGAGAATTAGTCCCCACTTGGAAATTCAACTTGCCAAGATCCCAAGTGCTTCTCCTTCATTGTCAGTCTCCCATGAGGGACCTTGTCAAAGGCCTTGCTGAAATCCATATAAATTACATCAACTGTACTGCCTTCAACAACACACCAAATATCCTTAGACTGTGACCCCTAGTTCATGGCTACCCCACCGTCGGGAACATGTTTCCTGTATCTACCCTGTCTGAAGTAAAGGTTTTGGCACTCACTGTGACACACACCTCAGGTATTGAAATTGTTCATGTTTTAGCGGATAGCATAGAGGTGGGACCCACCTATGATGAGTCTCTGGGTCGAAGTGTCCCACAGCCGATGGCAAAGTTGTTTGTGAGTTCTGCAGAGAGCCTGAATGAAGACAACGGAAGAAGGCAGATGGATAGGCACGATGGTGGACTGACAGGTCCTGCTAGTGGCCACTGTTGAGGAAGAATGGAGGAGATAAGCACCATCTTAGTGCAGGGGTTTGTGCATTTTGTGTAGCCTGTCCCCTTTCCAATGTGGAAGTGGTTGTCAATTTCATTAGTTTGCTTGTAAACTGGCTATGATGCAGCATCTGACAGAAAATGTCAGTGCTTTCATTGCTGCACAAATAGAAGCCAATCAACATGGGTGCAGCTACGGAAGCTCAGACTGAAGTCACGCTCTGTACCTTGCTGCCACATGGGCCTCAGAGTGCTGTCCTAATAGATGAAAAAACTACTGTTCAAAGGGACAGCAGATTGGCAATACATCCTTCAACAGATTACTAGATTTCTAATGCCTCCTCCATGCAGCACACCCTGCTGTTCCCTCTCAGCATTTATTCTGTTGCCATTTCCACTTGAAGCTAGGAACTATGTATTCAGGGACATGTGACATTTCAATAGGCCAGGCAAGAAGGAAAGTGTGCTAGGATAGCATTGTTGCTTCAGGATAGAATAAGTACAATAACAAGAAATAATCTCAGGTCAGAAAATGTAGAATCCACATGAAGGTAAGAAATAAAATGGTAAGGAAGACATTGGTAGCTGTGGTCTAAAGGCCCCCAAGGAGTAGCTATACGTTGGGATGGGGAATAAATCAGAAAATAATAAGGGCATGTGGAAAAGGCAGTACATTAATCATGGGGGACTTTAAATTGGAATAGTCAAATTGGCAGACACAAAACCATGAGGAAGAGACATTCAGGACTGTTTCCTAGAACAATATGTTGTAGATCCTACCAGGGATCAGGCTGTTCTGGATCCGGTGATGTGTATTGAGCCAGGTTTAATAACTTATGTCAGATCAAAAGATCCCCTATAAAACAGCCATTGTAACATGGTAGAACTTAGCATTCAGTTTTAGAACTTAGGAACTTAGTTGTGGTTAGTTGGCTCGCCGAGCTGGCTCGTTGTTCCGCAGACGTTTCTTTACCCTGCTGGGTAACATCATCAGTGCAGCCTCCGATGAAGCGCCATTGTGTTTTCCCACCTGTTGTTTAAACTCTGGAGTCTGTTGAGCTGGATCACCTCAATTCCGGTTTTCCTTCGCAATGGAGTGTATATGGGGTCTAGCTGTATGTGTTTGTTGATGGCTTCCCAAGTGGAGAACCAGGCTTCTAAGAATTCCCGTGCTTGTCTCTGCTTTGTCTGTCCCAGGATCCTGGTGTTGTCCCAGTCAAATTGGTGGTTTTCCTTATCTGTGTGGATGGAGATGAGTGAGTATTGGTCATGTCTTTTTGTTGCCAGTTGATGTTTGTGTACCCTTGTGGTTAATTTCCTTCCTGTTTGTCCGATGTAGTGTTTGTCACAGTCTCTGCAGGGAATCTTGTCTATGACATTGGTCCTGTCCATAGTGGGAAGTGGGTCTTTGGTTCGGGTGAGCAGTTGGCATAGGGTTGATGTGGGTTTGTGTGCCACTCTTATGCCCAGTGGTCGTAGGAGTCTTGTGGTTAGTTCCAATGTGTTCCTGATGTAAGGTAGCGTGGTAAGTGTGTCGGGGCGTGTAGTATGTTCCTGATGTCGTTCGTGCAATAGGCATCTTCTGACCCAGTTTTTCGGGTATCCATTGTATCTGATTACCTGGAAGAGGTATTCTTCTTCTTCTTGGGTTAGTTCTGTGCTGCTGCAGTGTGTTGTTGCCCTTCTAAATAATGCTCTCACGCAACTTCGTAAGGTGGTTGCTGCACCACATGGATAAGGAAAACCACCAATTCGACTGGGACAACACCAGGATCCTGGGACAGCTGAAGCAGAGGCAATTACAGGATTTCCTAGAAGCCTGGTGCTCTATTAAGAAAGCCATCAATAAACACATAGAGCTAGACCCCATATACCTTCTCTGTGAAGGGAAACCGGAAGTGAGGTAATCCAACTCAATGGATCCAGAGTTTAAAAACCAGGCGGGAAAACACAATGGTGCTTCATCGGAGGCTGCAGTGAGGATGTTACCCAGCAGGGTAATGAAACAACGAACCAGCTCGGCGAGCCAACCAATTACAACATCCACAACCCGAGCTATAAATCTACTCCAAAACCTTAGGAACTTAGGTTGGTAAACTGAGCTAAGCCTAAGTGAGGGTAATAATAAAGGAATGAGGGCAAAGCTGACTGTAGTGGACTGAGAAACGGGTTTAGCAAAGATGGTTGAGGAACAGTGACAGATGTCTAAGAAAATAGTTCATGGCTCACAGCAAAGATATATTTTAGTGAGGAAGAAGGATTCTAAGAAGGGACTTAGACAATCATGGTTAACCAGGGAGGTTGAAAGAGAAGGAAATATAATGTGACAAAGTAAGCCAGAAGTTTGCGAAAATTTTTAAAACCAGTAAGAAACAGCCAAAAAAAAGGGAGAAAATAAACTTTGAGGGTAAACTTGCCAGTAACACCAAAAGGGACAGCAACAGCAACTTTAAATATATAAAAAAGAGAGAAGCCAAAGTGAACACAGGGCCCTTTCAGAATGAGGCTTGGAAATAATAGTGGGAAACCAGGAAGTGGCAGAGGAGCTGAATACATATTATGCATTTGTTTTCACAGTAGAAGACACCAATAGCCTTCCAAAGATACTAAATTTTCAAGTGCCAAAGGGAGAAGAGGAAATAATACAATAACTACAACTAGAGAAAAAAAAACTGCTCAGAAAACTAATGGGGCTAAAGACTGATAAGTCCCCTGGACTTGATGGGAGGTTTCCTAGGATATTAAAAAAAGTAGCTACCAAAATAATGGATGCACTGATAGTAATCTTCTAGAAATCCTTTGATTCTGGAAAGTTCCCAGAGGATTGGAAAACTGACAATGTAATACCTTACTTCAAGAGGGAAGGAGATTAAAAAAAAGATAAGTATAGGCCAATTAACTTAATGTCTGTTATTAGGAAAATGTTCAACTTTATTATAAAGTGCAAAATAGAAGAGCATTTAGAAATACATAATATGATCAAACAGAGTCAGCGTAGCTTAATGAAGGAGAAATCATGCCTGACAAATTTACTAGAATTCTATGGGGAGATAACAAACAGGATAGAAAAGGGGAAACAGTGAATGTAATATATTTGGATTTTCAGAAGGCTTTTGATAAGGTAACACACATTAGGCTACTTAAAAAGATAAGAACCCACGGTGTTGAAAGTAGGTTATTAGAAAGGTTAGAGGATTGGCTAGCGAATAGACAACAAAGAGTTGGGATAAGGAGGCATTTTCAGGATGGCAACCTGTAACTACTGATGTGCTATAGGGAACAGTGCTGGGGCCCACAATTACTTATCAATGACTCAGATGAAGAAAATACAATGAAGAATGTCCTGTAGCCAAGTTTGCAGAACATACAAAAATGTGTGGGAAGACAAGCAGTGATGATGACACAAAGTCTACAGAGAGATATGGACAGATCAAACAAGTGGGCAAAATGTTGGTAGATGAAATATAATGCAGGGAAATATAAGGCTATGCACTTTGACACTTTTCTACAAATCTTTGCTGCAGAGGGTTATTGAGGCTGGATCATTACGCACATTCACAACTGAGATATATTTTTAATCAGTAAAGGAATCAGGGGTTTGGGGTAAAAGCAGGGAAGTGGAGTTGAGGATTAACATGATCTCATCGAATGGTGGAGTAGACTTGATGAGCTGAATTGCCTCTTTTCACTCCTACGTTTTATGGTCTTGCGGTCTCATGGAGGGTGTTAAATCCTCAGAGGGTGCACCATCATATCTTTCCCTTGCACCTTCCGTGGTTCCTGTCTGATTTGTAAGGCTTCTCCCCACTGTTGTGTAAAGATTATGCAGTACGAAGCAGATGATTGTAAGCCTGTGAGGTATATACTGAAGAGCACTGCCAGAGTGGTTGAAGCTTAGAACATCACTTTTAACATTCTGATTGCTTGCCATACTGTAGCTATTGTGAATATACGGAAAGCATTGTGCCAACCCTTGCCTGGAGTTAAGGGTTTCTAACTACTGTTATCTACCATTGAAGGGATAGACCCTGTTACCTATGTTTCAGGGATCTTGAATAGCTCTGGCACCTGGGAGTAACAAGGGACACATGAATGATGAGAACTCCCCAGAAACCGAGCACAACATGTGGAAGATATGTTTCTGATGATTGCATACCCCTTCCCTTTTCAGTTGAGAACCGTGCAGGCTGGTCCTGGAGAAAACTGATCACCACATGCATGCAGTCAGCAATCCCCAGAATCTGTGGGAAGCCCACGATGGTCCCAAAACCAATGGATCATATGGTCTGGCTCTCTGGATCTGTTCTGAACTGCACAAACTCTCTGGCCTTTTTAAAAACTGCATTCATCGACTCTTTAATGCAGTGATGAGCTGCTGCCTGTGAGATGCCACATCTGGCCCCTGTGGAGTCTGGAATGTGCTAATGTTGGAGAGGTTTAATGCTGCAGCGACTTTTAAAGCCACAGGCATTGCGTTCTCTCCCAGTTCAGGGACCTCAGTCTTAATGGTATGTTAATTATATTGATAAAACATGCAGTTTAATTGATAACTTAGTGCACTTATAGGGTTTAATTTAGTATAATTGATTGCACTTAAAAAATATAAAGATAGACTGCCCTAATCAACCACTGGACACACTGTGGTGTAATCTCTGTTTGAAAGCGAAAGAAGATCCTGCTGGGAGTTCTTCCCTTTATCATCAATGATGTAGGTTGGAGATATTGTATGCGGCAGTCCTATACAATTCAAGATTGAGGGAGTTCACAGATTGCCTGTGGTTTCTGTGACCTTGAAGAGTCCTGTTCCCTGTTTACACGGGGTCTGCAAGGCTGCGTACAGTCCTTTCTTCATTCCCTCAGGCTGCACATCAGCTGAGCTTGCATTCAGCCCACATTCCTGCACTTTTGTCACTCAGCTGACTGGGGAAGTTGGAGGACTTCCTCTGGGTCTGTTCCTGGGAATGGCCAATGTAGCAATGAAGAGGGTGAGGCAGTGAGCTGTGAAAGGGGTTGTTAGATCTGAATGTCTACCTCTTGTCTGTAGTTGTGTCTGAAGAAGGAGCATGTGGTGTCTACTGCACAGTTGTATCCTCAACTGGTGATCAGGCTTTCACCTGGTAATTTATTTGGGTCAGATCCATCCTTACCCCATTGGAGTTGGTTCTCCTCCAAGTAATTATTTTGATTATTAAGATTTTGCTTAGATATTGTTTAGTTTTCAGTGGAGAAACAAAAAACCTGTTGAGTAAAAGCCACCTAGCTCATTGCTCTCCTGTTTCTAAAATATGTTTATTGTGCAGTAAGTGTGAAACTTGACTGTTATTTTGAAGAGAATTTGGAAGGCTTTTCAATGCTAATATAATCAAATACATAGAAAGCATACAATTGGCTATATTGAGAACTGGATAAAACAATTAGTATATGTTGTGAATACAGATCAATAGGTTGAGAGGTAGATGGTGTTCTAATCCCATTTCAATCTTAACGTGAAACTTTCAAAAAAAACTCAAGAAACTCTTGGCCCTCTCTACCATTTACGTAACTACAATTTCAATTTTTATTTAGACTGTTAATGAGCCCCATAATAGCTAAAATTAGTCCTTTGGTAGAACTGAATTTGAGTTCTTGAAAAAGAAAATTTGTCTAAGCTGTTTGTTGGTATTCTTTTGAATTGTCTTAAAGAACAAATAATGTAATGCAAACATTTATACTGTGTCTTGGGTGACAGGTGGACTGTTCTTGGTAGAGGCATTGTCATTGGGAATACACCAGTTAACGATGACCAAATGTTTTTGACCAAACTTTGATTAAATTTTAAATCAGACGAGTTTACTCTTAAACGGTCAACAAAGCAGTGAACAGTATGTATTTGACTGTATTGGTATTTAAACGTCTTCCAGTTTCTCTTCAAAACGACAGTCCGATTTCACACTGACTGCACAACAAATGTATTTCAGAAACAGGAGAGAGATCAGCCTTTCCTCAGCAGGTTTTTTTAAAAGTAGTACTCTAATCATTTGTTGCACATTGCTGTAATTTAGTTGTAATTTTGTTCCTCTACATACCTCCATCCAGTTGATGGCTTGCTGAGAGGAAATTAAATTATACACTTTGTTTTCTTCCTTAGTTCCAGTCAGATAGATTTGGTCCTTGGCCCCCTCTGGGACATGTATCTCCAGCAATACAAATTTTACCTTGATAGTACTACCCTCCCACTTTCTTTCCTCAACACCTTGTTCTCAGGATGCTCTGATTTCAGCACCCGCTGTGTTTTGTTTTGGTTCCACTCCTGAGAACTGGGAAGAAGTTGGAAAACATTTGTAATGGGCTTTAAAGCAAGTAGAGAGGGAGGGAAGGGAAGGACAAAAGGAATATTGGTGCAAGGCAAAAGGAGTTGAGGATGGGAGGATAGAGAAACCAGGGATGGATATTCCATTGGCTCCTTCAGAATGACATTGCAGACAAAAGGAGGTGGGGACTGGGGGTTGGCCAATTACAAAATGCCTAGCATAGAGGCCAGGGCAATTGTGACAGATCCTCCTATCACAGGCTATGTCTCATTTTGTTCCGAAGTGCACAGACGGCGGCCAATGAATGAGGTTCGGTGCTGAACCGACAACCTATCAGCAAGTTTCATCGCCGGATGGGCAGCAGTAACCAATCAAAAGGAACCTTTTCGGCACTTTCCCACTGTCATCCAATGAAATGGCATAATCCCCCGGCTCCTCCAATAGGAGAGCGCCCAGACGGACGGCCGGTCGGAGGGCGGGCGCGAGGGAGCACATTGCGATTGGGTTAGGCTCGACCAATGACGGTCCACGTCGCACGGAAGCAGGCCAGGAGCCACTCACCGGTCCCGTCTCATGATGGCGGGCAGTATGGGGGGTGGTGTCGCTGAAGCAGCCAATGGGAGGGCCTGTGTCATACAGCTGTCGCAGTGGCGGCGGCGGGGCTTACTCTGTCTGGAAAGTCGCGGCTGTGTTAGCGGGAGGACGGAGAGGCTTTGCAGCCATGGCTAGAGCCGGAGCCTCTCATAGCGCGGCGCTTGGTTGCCTGCTTTTGCTTTTGATCGGTGCCTCCGGAGCGCTGGGTGAGTGATGGTCGGCAGGGAGGGGTGAAGCAGGTTGCTCGTTCGGCTGCTTTCCAAACATGGCGAGGGGCGGTTGGGGGGGTGGGGGTGAAGAGGTGGTATTGTTCACCAGAGGCCCGGGGATGGGGAGGGGGCGGAAAACCTGGGGACTAGCTAGGAGCGGCCTAGTGAAGGGACAGTGATGGAGCCCTCTCTTCCCACCTACCACAGCGGGGGCTGGCGGCCAGGGCCTTGTCGCCCTGACCCTGAGAGGAGCAGCGGCCGAACGCCTGGCCCGGCCCGGCCCGGGTGGCGGGAGGAGGAGGAGGAGGCCAGTGGGGTCTCACGCCCGGATGTGGTTGCCATGGTGGATGTTAGGGCTCGCAGAGCTGACCACTCGCTCCAAGAAAGACAGCCCGGAAATCCAAACACCTTCCCCGGAGCAAAGAGGGACCCCCCCCCTTCCCTCCACCAACCACCAATCCCCCTCTTCCCCCAACCACCAATCCCCCTCTTCCCCCAACCACCAATCCCCCAATCCCCCTCTTCCCCCAACC